TGTACCAAACGAGACCTAAAGTGCCTGTGGAAAGAAAGTATATATTTTGAGGAATAAGCTTAAAAGAACAGGGCTGTATACCAGAAGAAGCAAAAAAAAAAAAAAAACAAAAACATTAATATTTAAGGGCCTCCACCAGGAGCTGGGCACTGAGCTGGATCTCACATATGTGACTCATTTTAATGAGAACCCAAAAGACAAAATTTTCTAGAAAGTCTTCTAAGCCCAAGTTTGGGCAGCAAGATAATGTTGGAGCAAAATCCCAGAACCTGGGAATAGACTACTGTAGTCAAGAGCTCAACACAGGATCTCAAAGTATAATCCTGCATTCCTTCCAGACACTCCAATGTGGATGAATGACTGTGGAACTAGCTGGGGTAATGATTAAATATCTAGAAATATTTTGGAGAAAAACATGCCCAACAGAGGGAGAAACAATCAAATTAGATACAACCTATACAAGTACTTTGACACATGGTACTTAAAAGTAAATTATTACTGAAAATAAGCCATGATTATTTATTGGGCTGCGTGGTTATTACCACCATTCTCTGCTCTGTGTGTCCTGGGTTTGGGTGGATTCTCAAGGATAACTGGAGCCAGAACCAGCCTTTGGGGTCCTTGTCCAGTGCTCCTTTTCACTGTAATATTCTGCTTTAGGACTCACTTGATTGACCCATTAGAGAATGTAGTCAGCCAATTTAGGGAAGTGTGGGCTGGTTATTTAAATAAGAATCTTGATCCATCCCTTAAAATGAATTGGATTCAAATTACATAAACATGAAGAGATTCCCATCTGGGAGATTAGGATGTACTTATGACAATGTTATGTCAAATAACTTGCCAAACAATTTAGCCACAGATTTCTGTAATGTAGGACTTAGAATTAGCACATTCCTTTGCTAAATTTTTTTTTTTTTTTGATTTTTCGAGACAGGGTTTCTCTATGGCTTTGGAGCCTGTCCTGGAACTACCTCTTGTAGACCGGGCTGGTCTCGAATTCACAGAGACCCGCCTGCCTCTGCCTCCCAAGTGCTGGGATTAAAGGCATGTGCCACCAACGCCCGGCACTAATTTTTCTTATGCAGCATTATGTTTATCAATTCACATTACATGGGAAATACATTAACTTCAAATAGAGACTGTCTTTAATTTGTTATATCCAACTTAAGGATGACAAGGCAATTCTGTAATTATGCTATCAAAGCAGCCTGCTTCAAATTTTCTGACAGTGACTATTTGTTCACTCATCCCAATAAATATTTATTGAGATACATACCAAGTAATTTCTAGGTATTGAGGATGAGTGAAAAAGTAAAATAGTATTTTTCATACTTTTTGGAAACTTCCTTTGTAGTTAGAGAGACAAAAGACTAGAAGACAAATATGTAATAATTTCAGATATATTAAGGTCCTGAAGAAAAAAAAAAGTAGAACATAAGAATAAGCAGTGGTACTTAGTTGTAGGATGGAAGATGAGTGAGGGAATTAATGACAGCACCTTTGATGAGATCAGCTTGAAATAGGAACCTGCCTAAAGGCAGAACAGAGCTGGATGAGTAATGTTCCAAGAGATGGAAATAGGTCACGAATGAAAGTAGAAGTCTTTGGGTTAAGAAGAAGCTAAGAGGAACACAAGAGGTAAAGCTGGATAGCAGACAAAGGCAAGCTTACATCAGTCAACAAGTAAGAATTACTATAGATATGAAAGATGGAAGCTGAGGTTTGAGAAAGATGATTTGTAGCTTCTGTGTAGAAAATAAGTTGTAAGGGATCAAAGAAAGCTTGGGAGACAAAGTCCAGGCGGGATATGCTGGTGATTTACTAGGATTCTCCAGAGACCAGGTACACACACACACACACACACACACACACACACACACACACACACACAAATCATAACAAATCTTAAGAAGGACTCTCATATGGAGAAATTATTGTGACATTGTGATCAAACTATGGAGAATGTTTTGGACAGGTCGGTGAGTGGTACACTAGGAGGCTTTAGGGAGGACTCAGTGGTTTTCCTTGTTTTATTCTGTAAGAATCTCCACAATACTCTTGATGATAAATACCATGAACACTTAAAGTAAGAATTAGGTTAACCTAAGATACATATCTTGGAAAGAAATGTTTGGTAAGCTATTTGGATAGGATGTCAGATATTGTTAGTAGCAACTTTCATAAAAAATTGTTCATGATAAACTGCATTTGGGATGGGACTGGATAATGCTTTCTGTTTTGCTGTATAGTCCTATTTTTGACGATAAAGATAACAATTGCTGGGGTGCTATGACTTTCATAAGCCCTTCTCATACTTGATCTTCCTCCTCTGCCCCACCCATCTTTCTTAGCTTCTAGTGTTCAAGTACATGCGAAATTAGCTTCTTCACCCTCTCTGATGAATTTATACTCCCTTAGTAAAGATGTTAACCCTGATCATAACCAATCACTGTTCATAAATTTAAATGAATTGGGAATTCTGTGCTAATGATAAGAATGGAGCTTTTTCTATCCTTCGTATGGGAGTTCAAATGCCCATTGGCAAGAAAACGTATTTTCCCTAAAAAGGAAGTTTAATTAAAACTTACTCTTTAGACACTCCATGAGATGGAACTCATTCCCAATACCGCTTGGGTGACCAGGAACCATAGACTAGAGAGCCCATAGAACTGGAGTAAAGATAAATACTGCTGGTCTTAAAAAAAAAAAAAAACAAGTAAAGATAAAATGATTCCTAATGATATTCTGCTATATTCATGAATGGTACCTTATTCAGTGATCATCAGAGAAGCTTTCTCTTGTAGCAGATGGGAACAAATACAGAGAACCACAGTCAGGCATTTCAAAGAGAAAGGGAGAGTCCTTGAAACATTCAGCTATAATCGGGTTGTCTCTATCAGATGCTCCCCCTCAAAGCTTAGGAAAGAGCTGCAGAAGAGGAAGCAGAAAAATAGTAAGAGCCAGAAGGGACGGAGGACACCATGAGAACAAAGCCCTCTAAATCAATAGGATTAAAGCTCATATGAACTCGTAGAGACTGAAACAGTCAGCACAGGGCCTGTACTGGTCTGCACCAGGCCCATTGCATATACATTATGGCTCTCAGTTTAGTGTTCCTATAGGACTCCCGAGAATGTGGAATGAGTTAGTCTCTGTCTCACATGCCTTCTCCTGGGCTCTTTTCCTTCTGTTGGTTTGCATTGTCCAACTTCAATGTTACTGTTTTTAATGTTATTATATATTACTTTGTTATGTTTAGTTTATCATATTTTATTTTGTTAATGAGGAATAAAAAGGGATTCGATCCAGAGGAACTGGGAAGGAACTGGGAGTAGTAGAGGGAGAAACTAAGGATTTATTATATGAGAAAACCCATTTTCAATAAAAGTGGAAAAAGTAATTTCATTTCAATAACAATACAAAAATAGTCAATTGAAAATAAAACATAAATTTGCTCTTTAATGTAAATGGTATTTCTAGTTTTCCCATGCTAACTCGTAGGTTTAGTGATATGTGATTAAAGTAACTTTTTAAAAGAAGAAATGAAGATACAGATATCATATACTTATTTTGTTTTCCCTGGAAGTATAAGGAGCATCAGCTTCTAAGAATACTTTTGTCATAGGGCTAAAAGAGTGGATGACTTCTGGATCAAGGGTCATTTTTGCTATCAGTGTGGGGTATTCTAGATATCAGTAACTCTGAAGCCCCAGTGAATTACTGGACCAAGCCTTCAGTGAGTGAGTAAAAATACTGTTATGTTTATACATGGCCTTTAATAATTTAAAGGGTAATAACCTAGGGCAAGCCTGGATTGCCTTATTTGATCCTAAAAACATTAACAGAAACTAAGATTGCCTTGAGGCTGCAGGTCCACATTTTATTTCTAATTATTTCTCTAAATAGATGGCTAGAGCAACAGGGCATATTTCAAAATATAATGCAAGTTTTAAAAAACATTGAAATTGATTTCCTATATTTTGTACTACTAATAAGATGACCCAATTCACCAATTAATAATGATTTTCTTTAATAAAAACATTAAATTACAGAGTGAATCTATTTTGATGCTATTTATTTTTTTCAGTCTAATTTGTATTAAAGGCTGTTCTGTCAAAGCAAAGTAGTTCACTTACATGTTGTTGAATAATTTGGTAGTTTTATGTTACAGTAAGTGGTAAAATCTCTGTAAAGCATTTTGAATGTCTTTTTGAATTAGTCTGTTTATGTCTAATTAATATTTTAATTGCAGTTATTCTTCATTAATTCATGATTTATTAATCTGCAATATCTGTTAGCTAAAATTCTACCTACAGGAATTTGTGTAACACACACACACACACACACACACACACACACACACACACACACACACACGCACACATCTTTCATCAGAGAAGAAATTGTTAAAGTAGGCAAGACATTTCAAACAATTGTACTGGCCTCCAGTGAACATTGTTGATTCTTCTACAAAAATTGTGCTATTGAAACAGCAACAGAAACTATTCTCTTTTAAGAATGAAAATAATCTTACTATTATTGTGAAACTGATATTAGGAAACATAAGATACAGATACTGTTAGGCATATACATTACAATTTTTATTGAGTTGCATAAACGATACATTAAACAAGAATAGAAATATACATACAGATTAACAAGATTGACATTTTATTTATATCAATAAACCAAAATCGATATCAATATATTTTGAGATTAACATTTTTTAATTAAAGTAGATTTAACTATCTACCTTTTATTCATCATCTCTATATCATTTCCCCTTTTTTTACTGAGAAAGAAATTGACTATGACCATTAACCATTTCTAACCAATCCCCTTTAAATAAAAACAAACACACACAATATTTTGGGAATTTGGGTGTAATTTTTTAATACTACTTCTTGCTGATTGGGGGCCCTGTTAATCTCTTGGAGAATCTTGAGAAGATTTAGAATTATGGTACAATCTTGGCTTTAGTAGTCTGTAAGGCTTCGTAAAACTATAGACACTTCACAAATTTGCATGTCATCCTTGTGGAGGGGCCATGTTAGTGTTCTCTGTATGGTGTTCTTTAATTTTGTCAAATATAAATAGACTAAATATTGTAACTGTAACTCTTGCTTGATGCCTGTTTTGTTATATATAATTTTATAATGTTAAAATTAAAACCTTTCTTTTTAATTAGAAAGAAAAGAGGAGATGATGTGGGATGCCTTTCTGTATGCTTTAATATGTTTTTATTACATTGGTTATTAAAGAAGCTGATTTGGCTAATAGCCAGGCATAATATAGCCAAGCCAGAAATCTAAGCAGAGATTCAGGGAAAAAGAAGGGGGAGTCTGAGAGACAGTACATAGCCACTGGACGAGTAAGATGCCAAGGCATTACCAGTAAGCCACAGCCGTGGTGGCAATACACAGATTAATAGAAATGGGTTAATTTAAGTTGTAATAGCTAGTTATTAATAGCCTGAGTCACTGGCCAAACAATCATAATTAATATTAAGCCTCAGAGTGATTATTTTATAAGTGGTTGCTGGACTGGGGGGCACAAAAAAGCTTCCAGCTACATATTATGACATTTAAAAATAATAGACAAAAATAGTTCATGGGCTAAGCAAGTAAAGATAATGAGAATGACTAAAAATGGACCAACTTCAAAGATTTCTGAAGATACTAATAGCATACAAAGTTAACTTGGAGGGGACAGAAGATATCAATAAAAAACTGTGCTTCTGTCTTTGGCAACTGGATTAATTCTGCTGTTTCTTCTAGAGAAATCCTCAGAAGTATAAGTGATTTGATGTGGGAGGTGATAGAAAATTATGGATTCAGTTTTGGCAATGAGGTATCTGTGTAATGGAAACTACTCAGAAAGCATTTCAATATGTTCATCTATAACTCAGAAGAAAGATCTGAGCTGAAGATGCGAGATGGAGAAGTCAATAGAATATGAAGTTTAATCAAATGCACAACAGTGAAATGCAACATTCAGAATGAGTGAGACCAAGAATGGAGAGGGCAGAAGTGCAATCCTATCTCACCTCTTTACACATATGTTTAAAACACATGAGAAAAAAGAAGAAAGAGCAAAATAGATGAGGCAGGCAGGGTGTGGGCAAGAGAAGAAGAAAGTGATAGAGAAAGAACAGATGGAAGGAAAGGAAGAGGGAGGGAAAAGAAAAGGAGGAAGGAGGAGGACTTGGAAGAGGGAGGGGAGAAGGAAATCTAGAAAAGTATGAATTTATTTTAAAAAGAATGAATGTTCTAAATAAATAAAAGAAAAGTATTTGAAGTTGATCATTAATTTGTTTTTGCTGTAAGGTGATCATCCTTAAAAAGCTGGTGTGAAGGCTGGTAAGATGTTGTGATCAATAACAGTGTATCTGCTAAATACTTTGGTCCCATAGTAACCTGAATCACTTAGAAAGGGTGCAGTCACCCTAGGATGTTAAATACACTCTGTAGTACTTACACAGCTATGAAGCAGTCCCGCATATTATTCTCAGAGTGTGCTTCCACTGTTAAAGCTCCCAGGACTGTTGAGAATGGTAGTTTCCCTGACAGGAAAAGGAAAAGGAAAAGGAGAAAGGAAAAGGAAAGAAATGCTAATAGCTTTGGGGGTTTAAAACTTTGGTGATAATATGATCACAAGTAATGTCTCTCTTGTGTGGGAAGGAAATGACATGATTCAGAACATGGCACAGTCCATGCCATCCAAGACAGGAGATGGAGGCAGATACAAGCAACCATGTGAGAAAAGTCATGGAAGAGAAGGACAGACTGCCAGGCAAGAATAATAGGTTATTGGTGGCACCACTTAAATAAGTGAAAAGAAGACAACACAGTAGAATATGGTGCTTAAAATTTCTGCATGCATCATTTGTGAATGATTATATTTAGTGAATACATAGATGCAATTAATGAAAATTCTATGTTTATAAGTAAATAGTGACAATTAATTTGAGCAGTTTAACAAAACAGGAGTTCACATTGGATACATTTGCTAAGTGGCCATTGTTCCACAAAGGCAAGTGTCTTGATTTTTGTTCTCTGTCATACTAACACCTAGGAATGTTTTTATTCAGTGTGTGTGTGTGTGTGTGTGTGTGTGTGTGTGTGCATTGATGTTCTCT